ATATATTCTCAATTTTAAACTCACAAAGAGAAATTTTTAAATTGATTTAATAAAAAAAACTTCTTTTAATTTAGTTATAAGAATGATTGTAAAAATAAGTTAAACTATTTATTTTTAGTCTTTAAATACATTTATACTAATAACGTTTAAAATAACATTAAATATATTAAATTTCTTAATATATATTTTTTACGCGCATTTATGTCCTGAAAATCTTTTCAATCTATTCAATCTATTCCTGCTTTGCCTTTTGGTTAAGCCCTTAAGGGATCCCAAACAAAAGCTTAAAGTCCACATTCAGTTAACTGTTAAATAGCCTCTGAAGCAAATGCGATGAGAAGCGCTGCGCCGTGAATAACAATTAGGCTGAAAATCGAGAATGTTGCACGCAAACAGGCTGAGAGGCGGCTTTTCGGCCAATCTGAATGGCAATTGGACCATTTTAATAGACAATTTAATTGTTTGCGCCGCGACAGGTAAGGACAGGTACAGGCACAGGCACAGGTAGGTTGGAGTGTATTATTTATTGCGCGTCAGATGGCTACGCGCTACATGCAAATGACTCTCAACTGTTTGCATAACATCAAATGGCGCAGATGCTTATCCTACTGATGATGAAGGTGATGATGATGATGATAATGATGATGACGAAGGCGACAGACTATCCGCACTGCACTGACCCAAGCCAAAATGATTTTCACTTGATTAAAATTTTAAACAATTTAAGAAAATAGTTCCTTCTTTACACAAAATTAAATTCATTTTATACACATTTTCGCAGTATTTGCTTTAATCAGAAAAAAATAAACACACTTAAGCAAAGAAAGTTTCATTAATATTAACCTTAAACAGCAAATTAAATTTCAGAAATTTAATAAATATTTTTAGTTCTTTAATTTACACTTAAAAAATATATAATAAATAATATTCAATTAATTAAAATGGCAAGTTACGTTAATAAAGCAAGATTTTTGCATTCTAAAATTTGGCTATTAAATTTCCCATTTAAAAGGCTTTTCCACATGTGCTCCCAGTTAATTATAATTGCTTTTCTCTCAGTGTACCACTCACCAGTATTGCCACATCTTGCGCGCATGATACGGCAGATTGCAGAGCGCGAATGTCAGCACAAATATTATCAGCATGCGGACCACGCCTCTCCGTGCGCGTAGTACATTGCTCGATGAGTGTGACATATGTGCGGTTGCCACGCCCACACCACCGCCTCCATTGCCCTGCCGCTGATTGTGGGTGTGGGAGTGATGATAGAAGCTCGTTTTGCGACAAGCGCTCACAATGGGCCGATCCGCCTCTAGCGAGACCTGCATAAGAAATCGAGGACGTGTTTATGGACATTAATCAAATGGAAAACTATTTTTCTGTTTTTTTTTATATATTTTTTGTATATTTTTATTTACTTTATTTTTTTTAGAGCTTTAAGAGTGGTTTTCATGAAAATACGAACCTTGCAATTATCAAGCTACGTTTTTTCAGTGTTATTGTTGTTGTGTTGTTTTTGTAGTTTTTTTTTGTCGGTAGAGAATGTAAATAAATGTTATTGTTAGGTTGTGTTGAAAATAAGGAAGCGAGATAAATATAAAGAGAGAGAGCAGATAGAGAGATTGGGAGAAATAGAGATAGAGAAAGGGAGAAAGAGAGATAGATATATATAATACTAGAACTTAACTTTTAATAGAAAACTATTAAGAGAGAATTTATAAAAGCAATAAGCAAAATTTTTTGTTTGTTTATCAGTCTAATATGTATATATAATATGTATATATAATAATTATACACTATTAATTAGACTTAGAATTAATTCAGTATACTTAAATCTACTGTTCTTATTTGTTAACTCATTACATCTAATAGCGCTACTATTTTCACCAATATTCGATTTCTAATGCTAATATTATCTTTTTGAATATTCTATGCTTTGCATTTGATTCTACACAATGTCTCTTTAATTGATTTATGTTTAATGTAGACTACTCCAAGGAATCATATATTAAGTTTAAAATATATATTAAAGGCTCAATTTAATGCTGGCTGCGGTCGAGCGCTCATTTGAGGTTGAGTAAGTGGCATATTGATATATTACGCATACGCGGCGTGGCACGGTAGCTGAGTGGAATAGCACACATTTTACTTGAGCTTGGTTTCATTTTGAAAGTTGCCACTGCCACTGCCTTGGCCTCGGCTGGTCTGGCGTGGCTTAAGTTGCCAGCCAACAAGCTGTCTGTGTAATGCTCTCTAATGCCGCTTGACACCTGATGCTGCAGCTGCTGCTGTAGCTGCAGGTAATGTTGACCAAATTGCCATTTCAACTGCAATTTCCACTTGCAGCTCGCTCAACTTCAACAAATATTAACTATTAGAAGCCACGCGCGCCACTTATACCTGCCACACCTGCCATACCTGCCACACGGCCTGCACACTTTACACCTTTACACACAGTGCGAGAAAGTTAAGGAATGCGAATACTTTAAATTTGTTGTTCAAGTATTAGTTTACCTCAGCTCGAGCTGGGCAAAAGTTTGCGCTGCAATGTTAAGATATCAAGTGCCAACTAAATATATCAAGCTTTCAATTAAATTCAAAGGATATCATAAAATGTCATTTTGTGTGCAATAAATATTACATTTTACCACAATCAGTTTTCATGCTATTTCAAATTTATGTAGCAAATTATTTTGACAGATATATGTATATTAATATATATTATTAAATTCGATTTTCTGTTGACACAACTAAAATTATTGAAATTTTAATTACCTCTCACATCCAATGTGTATTACTGTCAGCGCTGACAGAAATCACAGAACTCAAATAACTCCAACTTACACGCACGCTCTCATTTGCACACGTATTTTAATTAAAGTAACTTAAGTGCGGACGCTAGAGCCTAATGAGCTCTTATTAGTGAAAAGTGCTCAGCTCCGCAGTCATTTAAATACACAGCGCGCATATAGCTTATGATCCACAAACTCTGTGCGCTCAGAGCAAGTGAGTAAATTTTATATGCGTTTTAGTTAAGCTTTGTAGTTTTATGCTCTAAAGCTCTTAGCGAAAGGAAAAGACGATAATGTTAGAGCAAGAAGATTACAAATATATGTAAGCATGAGTGATCACAATGTGCACATGAACATTATTGATGTACATACATATATACATATCTATGTAACTAAAGCCTTTACTTTGATTTTCATTTTCATTAAACACATTTCAGGTTAACAAACAACTTTTTTAGCTTTTATTAATTGATGAACTTCATGTGATATACGATATATGTATGAATAAGTATAAGTATACACATTTGTTATTTGTCGCAAAAAATATAAGAAGTGTGTGCGTACGCGCTACGACTGATTGCTCGAGAGCAACTGAGACAAAGGTGAGCAGCAGTCCAAAGAGGAAAAGATGCCTGCAGATGGCAAATGAGCAAGAATGTCACAAAGGAGAAAATAAAAGAGTGAGTCAAAACAACGCGCTCCCTATGCAGTATCTGCATTATAATTGCACACTCACACATTCACACACGTATGCATGTGCATACATATTACATATTATTAGTAGCGTGCTCTCTGCTCAGAAACTTCGAATGCAATAGAGAGAACGAAGCAGCACACCATTCGCTTACAATCCAAGGATTTTGTGTCTCGCTCACTCAAATTAATGGCAGCTACAGTCTCTGGAACGTCGCGGTTCAATTTATAGTAAATCACTTAGCTTCCACAAAACTGCTCAGCTCAATTATGATTTACGATCCACTCTCTAAGCGCTAGAAGCTCAGGCGCAACCTTAACCTCCGCTGAGGCCACTCTGCTCATCTTTTGTTTATTTATGGATTCTGTATGTCTCGCTCGCTCATATGAAGTTAAGTATAAGTAAAATTTAACTTCTACAAAAGCACTCAGTTCATTTATCGTGTATGATCCACGCAGCTCTCTATATAAATTTGTGGATTTTGTCTGTCTCGCTCAACTCTTATACTATGTTAAATTAAATTGTGCTTGATTTTCGCATCATGTTATTTCTTTCTACTCAAGCTATAGCTTCGCAACTTGTTTATGCACTTCTGAGCGCAATCCCCACATTTTCTTCAAAAGATGTATGTAGGTATGTATGTATGTAGGTATATATATGTAAGTACATATCACATTAGGGTACTTTTTGCATAGAACTTGACATTGCTTAGAATGTTTTGGGCAGCCAGAGTGCCAAGTGAAACACCTGTGACTATCTGTTTTTGTTGTTGAACTCACCTGACTCTCGGTGATGCTGACGCCTCGCTTTTCGTATTTACTGCTTTGTTTACGTGACAAGGACGTGGAACTGCTGCCGGAAGCTAGCGACGATGTTCCAGCACCTGTTCCTACTCCTCCAGCACTGCCTCCTGCTCCGACTCCAGCTCCTCCTCCTGTCGCTGACGACGCTGGCAGCTGATGGAGTTGATGATGATGTGGATGGGCTAGGGGATGTGCGTGCGGATGATGGTGATGATGATGATGATGATGGTACATGCTGTTATGCAGACTCATGCTATTCTCTGGACCAGCCTGCTGCTGCTGCTGCTGTTGCTGTTGTTGTTGTTGGTGCTGATGTTGCGTCACATGCGGACTGAGACCACGGGAGCTGCGCCACAAAGCGATGGCTATTTTGCTGTACAGCACCTGTCAAAGTAATTTATGGTTATTATAATAGCAAGTGCATGGTGCTATAATATCTGAATATTTGAAGAAGAGTCGGGCAATTATGCTGCTTGGATTATGGCTAAGCTACCTTGTCTTCTCTTTTCTTTTCCCTTATTCATTGCTTCTCTCTTCTCTTGTTTGCTTCTTTCGCTTTATTTATTCTCTTAATCATCATCTCTTCTCTTTTTTCTTCCCTCTTCTATTCTTCTTCTGCCTTATCTTCTCTTCTGTAGTTTTCTTATCTCTTTTCTTTTGGTTTCTTCTCTTCACTTCTCGACTTTCTCTCCCTTCTTCCCTCTTTCTTCTCCCCACTGGCTTAGCTCACCTAACCTTACTTACCGTCATAACCAGGAGCGGCATCACGTAGAGCAGCACAAAGTTAATCATGTCGAGCAACTTGGAATTGAACATTTCCCGATCCAGGACACAGATCTCCTCCTCCTGGCCATCCTCGGTGTGGATGTTCTTAATAGTCTTGCTGAAGACAAATTTGGGCGTCGAGTAGACTGCCGACGTAATCCACACGGTGACAATGACCATCTGCAAGAGGGCAACATTTTACCAGGTTGTCATCTAAATGGGTCTAGGCGAAACACGCTAAGCTCTTCACTAATTGCCAATTGTCACACACAGAGTTTCGTATGTCTCTATGTCCATGGCCAGTCTATGCCATACTTCAGTTTAATGGACGCTATTCACATTAACAAGGAAGCATTTGCCTAGACAATGGCGGCGCGTTTTCTATGTATATACATACATATCTCTATTCCTGGAACTTTTTTTATTAGATTAATTGGGTCAATAATTATGCCATTGATATGCCTGGCCTGGCCGCTGGCTCTGGCAAAAGTTTTGCGCTGCGCAAGGAAGAAAACTTTTCCTTTTGGCCTATTTAACCTTTTGGGCAACTTTCTCGCAGTCGCAGTTTAATAAGTTCCATTAGCGCGTAATTTGCGGTCGAATTTCCTATTAAATTGAAACGAAACCCTCCTAGTGCCACCAACGCTGTTCCAGCTAAACGAATGGATTAAGGAGCCTTAAGAGCTGAATTAAATTTCATTTGATTTCAGGGCTTAAACTTAATTTTAATAAATTTGAAATTTAATTAGGAATTTGTTGTACTGTTTAATGTCATATATGCATATATGACATCATCATTATATAATTAAACCATATCAATTCATTTTTAGTTTCTTTATATCGTACTAGTTTAAAGTAACCAATCAAATTTTAAACATAATATTTATATTCCAATAAAGACTATAAAATATTTTCCATTTGACGTAACTAACTTACCCTTAAGCGAGCAGCAGTTAGAATTTGTTTGCACGTTATTGGATGGACAATGGCAAAGTACCGCTCCATGCAGATGACCACCAGTATAAATATTGATGCCGTATAGCTGAGCGAGTGCACGAATTGGTACATGCGGCAGAGGAACTCGCCGAAGACCCAGCTGAAAAGAGTGCGAAAAAAGAGCGAAAAAATATTATAGCTTTGGATGGTACTACAATTTGATGAACTAGTTCATTAATAAATTTAAGTAGAAAATATAATTCACTATACATTATCAATTAAACTTGTTCTTTAGTTCACTATAATATTCAATTACTGTGGGCTCACATTAGTTCCTTAACTATACTGAACTAGTTTATTTTAATATTCAATTATCTTGAACATAAGGATAGACTCGGATTCATTTATATCCGGTTTATTAATTGAGAGGGGAACAACTTCAAATGAATTAAACTCAACGGTTCCATAATTGAGCTGAACTTGTTCATAAGCTTACTAGTTCATGTTAATGAACTCGTACATATGTACATAAGTGCAAAGAGTAAAAACCCTTCTTTGACTGAGGAGTGGGCGGGTCAGGTGCGCAGGCTCTCACACACTTGAGGCGTCGAGACGTATCAAATGTTATGACACGCCCACCGCAAACTTATGCCGCATTAAGGTGTCATTTGAGCAGGCTGTGGCCAGAGCTTTAGCACTTCGCCATCATTTTTATATTTTCTCTCATTGCATTAGGCCACCTGAAATTGTAGCCTCGGGCTCATTGTGCTCGGGGATTAGCACGTAATTCTATTTTTGTGGAACAGCTAATCCGCCGTAAGTGGAAAAATGTCAGAATTTCTTCTGCTACTTCGCTCGACATTTTTACAAATATATAAATAAAAATTATTGGCAACTTCTTGGCATTCTCTGCTACAGCTGAAAGGCATCAAATTTGCTGAGCTACTTAAATATCCATTAAAAGTGAAAGCTTTCGGTATGCGCTCCTCGAGCATGAGAAAGTCGTATACGGTATACCCATAAATCCGGACGGGTTCTCTTCTTTGCTTTTTCACCTTAAACGAAGTTCTGAGAGATGCCTTTGTCTTTGATTTGTTAAAGTTGGTATTTAAATTCATTGAAAATTATTTATTGCTATGGAGAACAATAAAGAATACCTTGATGAAAAAAAAAAAAAAAATTAATACGAGAAAAAGAAAAACATAAAGTGATACTTGTAATATAAAATAAATGAAATAAAAAAATGTAAAAAAAAAATAGATATATGAATACAATTGTTTATCAAGTTACAGAGCTCAGGTATCTTATATCTGGTTAATAATATTAAAAAAAAAAAATCAAAAAGTTTATATTAAAATAATTATTGAATTTTCAATTTTCACAGACTTTACTTTATTTATTTTTAATTTATTATTTAACTTTCCTTTTTTTTTTTAATTTAATTAGTATTATTTTTATTAAATATTGTAATAAATTTATTTTTCCCACTTACCTGTCTATAAGATAAATGGAGAGATTTTGCATAACACAGAAGAGACCCACGCAGAAGTCGGCAAAGGCCAAGTTGGCCAAGAAAAAGTTGGTAATGGACCGCAGACGGCGCGACAGCGTGACGACCAATATAACAAGCAGATTGCCTAGGAGAGTCACAAATTAAGGAATAATAGTTACCAAAAGTCAATTAAGCTGTTCCATTCAAATGATTTGTAGATGGGAAATTTTAAAAATGTTAACATAATATTTGGCTCTGCTTTCAGAGTAGAGCAAAAAGTCCGCCCATCTGTCGACGCAGAGCTGGCGCACCAACTTTTAGCAGACAGTCTACACAGGCACACATGATACTGAATGGCAATTTTTGTCACAGTCCCTTGCCGTTTGGCTTAACGTTGCGTTGAAAGTTTATTTTAATTAGGGGCTTTCATTTATGCCACATCTCTGGCTATGAGCCTGTGTGTCTCTCTTTCTCTCTCTCTCTCTCTCTCTCTCTCTCGCACTCGCAATGTCTGCTTTAATTAAATGAAAACCCTGAATTTAACTGACAACAGCAGCCAAGGGCCTATGATATGTGGCCAACAATGGAATGTGCAGACAGTTAAGGCTAATTGCCACAGCTGGCCAAACTGGATCAAAAGGAAAAGCTGTGAAATTGCTCATAAATTATATATGCTAATACCAAAAGTAAGTCACAGACTGTAGCACATGTTTCTTGCTCTAAAACAAGTCAATTCTCACTCGAATGAAATATGTAATCATCATTTGATGTAAGAAACATGCTCGACGTATTATGGAGAGTTGACGTATTATGAGAATTGAGTTGATGATCGATTAAGGTTGTTTCGACGTTGAGTTCATGCATGGGTCTAGATAAATGGGTATAAATAAACTGAACACTACGGCAGTTACAATAGTCTTGATATAAAATCAACACATCGTATTTATTTTACCATTTTTTATTTTACCATTTTTTTTTTTTTTGGTCAATGAGATGAAAGCAAAGTTTATTTTAACTTTTGAATACCTTAATCCTAATCCTTTTAAAGTTATAAATTCTGATTTAACTTGACGTTAAGCCGATTATGTTTGAGTCTAGTTCAAGTCTTAATTAGCCATAAAGGTCATCTATATTGAAATTTAAAATAAGTTCTTGGGTTTAGTTTGTCTTTGTATGGCATATTCTATTTGATCCTTTATATATATATTCAAAGATA